TGTTACCCAGACCTGGATGGACCTCAATCAGGGACGGTTCTGTTACCCAGACCTGGATGAACCTCAATCTAGGACGGTTCTGTTACCCAGACCTGGATGGACCTCAATCAGGGACGGTTCTGTTACCCAGACCTGGATGAACCTCAATCAGGGACGGTTCTGTTACCCAGACCTGGATGGACCTCAATCAGGGACGGGTTCTGGACCAGGAACAACTAATGATTTCGTTTTCAGAAACTCCACAAATGCATCTTATTCAATTTCCTTCCCTTTTATTTTGAAAGAAACAAAGCAGGAAATGTCATGATCACTGTACACACAGTATTATTCTGTCTCTGGACTGGAAGCAGAACCCTTCCTGGTCACTATGAGCCCATGTCTCACATGCTTGAGATGCGTCCTTGGTTCAGTATGATGGTTCCGATGGTCGGATCAGCGGGTTCTTTTCAAGTTCTGCTCATGACCCTGTTCATCTGACCCTGATATAATGAACATGACAACATCTGAAACATGAGGGACCGAAGAAAACCACGGTTCTGAAGGAGTCTCATTCTGAGCGGGGACTACTGGGGCCGTGGTCCTGCTGGTCCAGAAGGTCCTGGAGCTGAGGGAGCATCAGTCCTAGATTCAGCAGGAGCTCTTCCACACCTGCACAGGTAGATTAAAAGGTTATCTCCTTAACTGAGTCCATGATGCCAGCTCTTTAGGACTAAATGATAACTACTCCCATGATCTAAGTCACTTAATCCAACTGATCTGAATGTCTGATTTAAGGTGAATTAGTTTCTGCACTGCAGATCTCAAAGCGTTGGTAGTATTGAATGTCAGACTGAGCTGAACCGCCGCCTGTGTGGTTGATGTTTCAGCAGAATGGTGGTGTTGGTGGTAAGTTACAGGTGGCGTGTACTGGTATATTGCGTTAAATGTCCAACACTCCAAAGAGCTTCAATCTACATAAAGCCATCCACCCACTGATGGTGGTGAGCTACACTGAAGGCACAGCTAACCATCAGGGCTGACATACATGGGCTCCTCTAGGCCCTCTCAGCAGGGGCCCCAGAGGGCCCCAGAAAAAACCCCCCACTGCCGACCCTGTTTCAGGATGAGTGTTGGAGCAGGTGGTGCTGGTTCTTCAGGTAGTGTGTTCCCCTTCTTCTTCCCAGTACTCACTGTGCAGTGTCGGTGGGCAGGTAGCGGCTCTCCTCCCCATCCAGGATGCCATGGTACAGGCCAATCTCCTGCTCCAGACGCTGCCTGTTCATAAGCAACACATCGTAGTCCCTGCGCTGTTGTTCAATCTCCCCTCGTACATCGTTAAACTCCGCCTCCAGCTTGGCCACTACAGAGCCAAGGTTCTGCAGCTCCACGTCATGCCAGTGCCGAGCATCCGCCAGGGAGTTCTCCAAGCCTCGTTTCTGCAACACCATGTTACTGATATCGTCAGGTCATTGATGACGTCATCAGACCATTGATGATGATGTCATCAGATCATCGACCCTGATTTCATACGTTCAGTAATTATGATTTCATCAGGTCAATGATGATGTCATCAGGTCAGTGAATATGATATCATCAGGTCAGTTAATATTATGTCATCAGGTCAGTGAATGTGATGTCATCAGGTCAGTTAATATTATGTCATCAGGTCAGTGAATGTGATGTCATCAGGTCAGTTAATATTGTGTCATCAGGTCAGTGAATGTGATGTCATCAGGTCAGTTAATATTGTGTCATCAGGTCAGTGAATGTGATGTCATCAGGTCAGTTAATATTATGTCATCAGGTCAGTGAATGTGATGTCATCAGGTCAGTTAATATTATGTCATCAAGTCAGTGAATGTGACATCATCAGGTCAGTTAATATTATGTCATCAGGTCAGTCAGTAATGTGATGTCATAAGATTAGTGATTATGATTTAATCAGGTCAGGATTTTTTGAGTCCACCAGGTCACTGCTAATGATGTCATCAGGTCAGGGATTATGATGTAATCGGGTCATTGATTATGATGTCATCAGGTCAGTGATCCTGTTGTCATTAGGGCAGTGATAATGATGTCATCAGGTCAGTAATCCTGTTTGTCATCAAGTCACTGATAATGATGTCATCAGGTCAATGAATATGATGTCATCAGGCCAGTAATCCTGTTGTCATCAAGTCACTGATAATGATGTCATCAGGTCAGTGATTATGAGGTCATTGGGTCATTGATTATGATGTCATCAGATTGTTGATAATAATGTGATCAGGACAGGGATTGTGATGTTATGAATTCAGTGACAATAATTTCACCGAGTCGTTGATAATGATGTCATCAGGTCAGGGATGATGCCTCACCAATGCTCTGATGGACTCGGTCTCGGCCTGCAGACTCTGGATCTTGCACCCCACCTCACTGCATTCAGTCTTCAGTGCCTCCACCTGCTCCTCCTCTGGACTTAGCCGGCTCCCCACACTCTGCGCTTCCTGCATCAAACCGGGGTCAGACACACCTGAGGGGAAACTTGCTGAGCTTGCCAGCTGATTGGTCCTCACCTTGCACTCCAGGCAGCCATCGGTCTCTGCTCTGTTTTTCTCCATCATCCTCTCCCAGTGACTCCTAATGTGGGCCAGAATCTGGTCCAGACTGGTCTCGATGGGAGCATCGGGTTCATCCACCTCCCGTCCAGCCATCTGATTGTAGAGTCCCCGCACATCCTGGAGGGACAGAAGGGCAGGTGTTCACCTTCATCAGAGCTCTTTGATCGGAGCCAAGACGTGGATTTCCAGGGTGTGGTGGAACCTGCTCATAGTTGTCCTCCAGACTGCGCAGCTCAGCCCTCATGTTCTCCATTTGCTCCTCCAGGTCCACCTTGGTCATGGTGGCCTCCTCGATCACTCTGTGCAGGGAGCTGATCTCGTCCTCCACCGCCCTCCTGAAGGGTTGTTCATTCTCATACCTGCAGACGGACATCACCAAGGCAAAGGAAGTTCATTTAAAGTTAAACAGGAGGGACCCCAGAATGAAGCCTTGAGGAACCCCACATGTGATTGTTCTGCTCTCTGATTTAATGTCCCCACCACCTCTCTCTACCTCCCCCCATCAGACCATCTGAGGAGGTTCTGACCTTTCTTTGAAGTCCTCAGCATTGGCTTGGATGTTCTCTGTCTGCAGCATTAGGCGAGCGTTGTCCAGGATGGCTTCACTGACCTGCAGGAAGTAGGAAATCAGACCTTCAGTCCCCCTAACCTCCAAACCAAGGAGCCATGTCCTCCCTCTGTCCTCCCTCCTTCCTCCCTCCGTCCTCTCTCCATCCTCCCTCTGTCCTCCCTCCCTCTGTCCTCCCTCCGTCCTCCCTCTGTCCTGTCTCCATCCTCCCTCCGTCCTCCCTCCGTCTTCCCTCCATCCTCCCTCTGTCCTCCTTCCATCCTCCCTCTGTCCTCCCTCCTTCCTCTCTCCATCTTCCCTCTGTCCTCCCTCCGCCCTCCCCCCGTCCTCAATCCGTCCTTGCTCCGTCCTCCCTCCCTCCGTCCTCCCTCCGTCCTCTCTCCATCCTCCCTCTGTCCTCCCTCCCTCTGTCCTCCCTCCATCCTCCCTCCGTCCTCCCTCTGTCCTGTCTCCATCCTCCCTCCGTCCTCCCTCCATCCTCCCTCTGTCCTCCCTCCTTCCTCCCTCCGTCCTCTCTCCATCCTCCCTCTGTCCTCCCTCCCTCTGTCCTCCCTCCGTCCTCCCTCTGTCCTGTCTCCATCCTCCCTCCGTCCTCCCTCTGTCCTCCCTCCATCTTCCCTC